TTCCTCAGCTTTTGCTTTTTCTGTCCCTTTTCTCTTTCTTTTTTTCTTCTTGTACTTTCATAATTCATATATTGGTTCACTTGATGCTGTCCCATAGTCACATAGGCTTTCTTAACTCCCTTTTCTTATTTTTCTGATTGGATAATTTCAAATGTTTTGTCTTTGAGTCTGTCTTACTTGATTGAGTTTACTATTGAAACTGTTTATTGCATTTTTCAGTTCAGACATTGTATTCTCTAGATCCATATTTTTTAAATGATTTTTATCTCTTTGTTAAATGTCTCATTTTGTTTGTATTTTGTTTCCCAGATTAGATTTAGTTGCCTGTTTCTTTTTGTCGTTTCAAGAAACTTACTGAGCTTCTTTGAGATGATTATTTTCAGGTTTTTTTGTCAGGAAATCCATAGCTCTTTATTTGTTTAATTTTTAAAAAATTTTGCCAGAGATCACTTATGCTTGCTAGAGAGGTGAGAGAGAGAATGAGAAAGCATGCCACATGGGGAGTGATCACACCACAATTCCTTCTCCATTTCTCCCTCCTTTCTAGAATTTGGGCATGCACACACACGTGCCCAGTGTGTTTTTCAAGCTGCTAAGTCTGGGCCTCAAACCACATAGTTGGCTATGTGGAATCCAACTGCCTTAACCATCACAGCACCAGCTGGCCCAGGATCTTTACTTCTTTGAGGTCAGTTGCAAGAGCTTTATTTTGTTCCTTTGGTGGTGTCATGTTTTTTTGAATCTTCATGTTCCTTGAAGTCTTGACGTTGCTGTCTTTGCATTTGGAGAAATGGTCACCTCATCTAGGCTTTTCTGACTAAATTTTGGAGACAGAGTCCTCAACTATTGAGCCTGGCTATGTATTCTAAGGGGTGGCTCTCGAACTTTTCTATGGATGTATGGATGCCACTCTTCCTTTTCTCTTAGTGGAGAAGTTTTAGGATGTGTACTTTCTCTCAATCCTGCACAACCAGGTTTTGTGTGGAGACTCTCCCATTTATTTTCTTAAGAGTGGTACTTTGAAGTGGTAAAGGTGGTATGCCTTATCTGATCTACAGGAGTCAAGCCAGCTGATAATATACACCTGCTGTTGAGAATTATGTGCTGATTGCAGGGACATGTAGGATGCTATACACACAGTGCTGTCTAAAGGGGAAGGAGGGGTGGGGTGCTAGGAACATACTTCAGCTGTTTGGAGTGGTTCACAGGTAAGTTATTCTTTTGGATACATTGTGGAGTTAATGAGCCAGTTAGCAGTATCTTAGCCAGCTGTTGAAAACTATGCACTGGTCGTTGTGTGTTCTAACCCCTTCTCCCTGCTTTTAGCTGACTCTTACCAATTCAGTCATCCCCTTCAGTGCCCTGGTTTAGGTAAGGCAGAAGTGGGCTTCTGGGTAGCATCTTACAAAACTGGAGAAGCTGGGCGCTGACTTCACTCTCATTGTTCCCCATGAGAAAAATTGTAAGCTGAGACAGTCTCCCTCGGCAACCTTGGGAAAAGAGTAATATGAGTAAAGTAAAATTGCTTTTATTGGGACCAGCAGATGGCATAATGGTTACATTGCTATAATCCCACATAGTCGACCATGGTTTAAGTCCCAGATCCACCAGCTTGACACACTGGGCACGTATGCATGTGTGCCCAAAATCCTGAGAGGAGAATGGAGAAGGGTGATTTCTCACTTTCTGTCTCTTTGTCAAGTACACGTGCCCTATAGTAAAACTCTCTTTAAAAAATTGCTTTTATCACCCTTCTCAATGTATCTTCTTGTGGTTATTTTGCTCCATTACGATGCTAGAACCTCTCAGCTAGACCCTAGAGTTCCCACAAAGGTATTCTTACCTGTATGTAGTTGTCAAAATCATTGTTTCTGTGGGGGTCTGAAGACTGATCCCTTCTATTCTGGCATTCTGCTAATATCCCTCCCTTGGTATAGTATTTTTTTGTTGCTATTGTTCTCTGTGTATTCTTCTATTCATCTCAACTAAGAAAGGTTAATAAAAATTTTTTTGAATAGATTTTAGCTTTTACAGTTTTACTTTTACAGCAAAATTGAGCATAAATTGTAGAAAGTTCCCATGTACTCTCTGCCCCCACACATGCGCAACTTTCCCCACTATCAACATCCTCCACCACAGTGGTAACTTTATTGTAATCCATGAGCCTTCTTTGACACATTATCCCCAAAGTCCATAGTTGACATTATAGTTCACTCTAGGTACTGTACATTTTTTTGGTTGTAGGTTTTTTTCTTTTTATTATTTTATACATTCAATCATTGTATATCACCACAGCTTGTAAAATGAATTACCCAACATGAATACAATTCACACCAGTCCAGTGAAGACATCATATCAGACAGTCCTTCATTTCTGTGTCCTTTAAATGTCTTGACTCTCTATTTTTCTCCTTGATTCCTTTCCTCTCACTCCCCCCAACCAATCCTCTTCTCAGACTGTCTCCAGTGTCTGTAACCACTTACCTTGCTTCTAAATCCACTAATCTTAGTTTCTGCCACAGAGTGTGGACAGTTGGTATATATTAAGTGGAGACATCCAATGTCTCTCTTTCATAGCCTAGCTTGCTTCGTTCAGCAGTAGATCTTCCATATCCGTCTACTTTCTATCAAATGCAAGGGTCTTGCTTTTTATGGCTGAGTAGTATTCCATTGTGTATACATGCCACACTTTCTCAATCCATTCATCTGTTCGTGGACATTTGGGTTGGATCTGTGTCTTAGCAATTGTGAATAATGCCACAATAAACAGAGATGTGCAAGCACTTTCCTGACTGAGCAGTGTTGCACATTTTATGTATTTGAACAAGAGGACAGTGGCATGTATCCACTATTATAGTATCATGCACATTTTCATTTCCCTAAAAATCTTCTGTGCTCTATTTGTCCCTTCCTTCTCTTAACCTCTGGCAATCACTGATTATTTTATTTATTTATTTATTTATTTATTTATTTATTTTTGAGGGGGAGAGGTTTTTGCTATAGGGTGTGTGCGCTCGCCAGAAAGACAGAGAGGAACAGAGAGATAGAAATCGAGAAATCACTCCCCAGGAAGATGGCCATGCCGCAATCCCTTCTCCTCCATTTTCCTCTTGGGATTTTGAGAACGCATGCACATGTGCCTGGCGTGAGTTTAAGCCACCAGGTCTGGGACTCAGACTGCCGAGCTACATGGGAGTTCAGCAACATAGCCATTACACTAACTGCTGGTCCTAATCACTGATTATTTTTAATGTATCCCTAATTTTACCTTCTCAAGAATGTCAGATAATTGGAAACATACAGTGTACAGTCTTTTCAGATTGACAAGATTGATTTTTCACATCTGCAAACATCAAATACCTGTTTCTTCTATAATTTCTTTCATCAGTGTTTGATAGTTCTCTACATATAGCTCTTATACATATTTTGCTAGATTTATACATAAGTATTTCATTTTGAGGGATATTAATGTAACTGGTACTGTGGGGAGTTTTGTTTTTTGTTAGAGGCACATACACTTGCTGGAGAGACAGAGAAAGGGAGAGGAGGAAGCACCTCCCATGGATTTGGTCATACCACAAACCCTCCTCCCTCTTTCCTCCCTTTCAGGATTTAAGGCATGCATACACACGTCTGATGTGTTTCTCAAGCTGCTGGGTCTGGGACTGCAACCACGGGGTGGACCATTTGGGATATGGCTGCCTTAACCACCAAGCCACAGAGCTGACCCCTAAGAAGGATTTTTCGTTTCCCTCTCACTTCTTTCAAGGTTTTGTTTGTTTGTTTGTTCTATGCATTTCAAATATATCTATATGTAGGTTTTGGGTATTTTTGTTTATTTTCTTTTGTTTTGTTTGTTGGCATTTGTCTTTCTTGGTGTTCTCTGAGCTTCTTGAACCTGTGGCTTATTATCTTACATTAATTTTGGGATATTCTGAGCCAGCTCCATGGCCTAGTAATTCTACTAGTTAAGGGAGCTGGACCCCACATGACCAACATCAGTTCAAGTCCTACCCAGGAGCTTGAAAAGAATGCTGGATATATGTGCATACATGCCCTAAATCCCAACAGGAGGGAGAGATGGTGGAGAAGCGATTGTGGTGTGACCATGCCCCATTAGGGGGTGCTTTCTCTGTTTCTCCTCTCTCTGATGAGCACAAGGAGGGGGGATTCTCAGTCACTAAATATTTCTTCTGTTTCTTTTTTCTTCTCTGGCAGTCATATTACATGTATTTTACATAGTTAATGTTTTTTCCCTCAGCTCTTGAATATTCTAGTCTCTCCCTTTTTTTCCTTCAGTCCTTTTTCTCATGGCTTTTTAGTTGTGAAAGTTTCTATCAACAAACCCTCAAGCTTAAAGGTTCTTTCTTCAGCAATTTCCAACCTATTAGTGAGCTCATCAAAGGAATTCTTTATTTCTATTACAAGAATTTTTTTTATCTTCAGCATTTATTTTTCCTTAAAACTTCCATCTCTCTAACTACATTGTTCATCTGTTTTTGTATGTTCATCTACTTTTTCCATTAGAGTCTGTAGCATATTCATTAGTGTTTTAGATTCCATCTGATAATCCCAACATCCTTGTCACATGTATGATTATGCTTCTTTTTTTGTCTCTTAAACTGTGGTTTTTGTTTGTTTTATTTTTGCTTTGTTTTGCCTTTTAGAATGCTATGTTTTATTTATTTATTTATTTATTTATTTATTTATTTATTTGCCTGTGAGCATATATACACTTGCCAAAAAGAGATTGGGGGGGAGGCAAGAAAGCACCACCACCCCCCCGTGCAGAAGGGTTACACCACAATCTCTTCATTTTTCCATCCTGTCAGGATGTGGGGGCACTTGTGCACTTGTGCCTGGTGTGTTTGTCAAGCTACCAGAACTGGAATTCGAACTGTACAGCCAGCCTTATGAGAGCTGGCTCCCTTACCCACTAAGCCACAGGGCCTACCTCCTTGTAATTTTTTGCTGAAAATGAGACAGGATGGTAAACAGAACTCAGGTAACTAAGCCTTTAGTGATGTAGGATAAGGTGTTGGGGAAAGGAAGCATTCTGTAGTTACATGATTAGGTTTCAGTCTTTTAGAGAACCTGAGCCCCTAAGTTGTAAACTTTGCAAGAGCTTCTCTAGTAAACTAGATTTGAGTACTTCTCTTTCCCCAGGTTGGATGGATTCTGAAAAAAAAAAAAAAAAAAATCCCCAATAAGTAATATAAAAGTAATATACCTTTTCTTGATGGCAGATTTTGCTAAGAACCGAGCAAACGTTTTCACATGTAACAACATGACTATTGTTCTCCTTCCCCTGCTGGAAGCATAAGAGGATACTTCTTTGATATTTACTCTGGGAACTTGGTAGTACTAGTGGAGTTAAAACTCACAAGAATGGGAAAAAAAAAAAAAAAAAAAAACTCACAAGAATGTGCTCTTCTCCCTGACTATGCCTCTTGGGGTTTTAACTTTCAGACTTGTCCACTCTGAGCCTTCAATATGTGGACAATTACAGTTCAGGTTTCCCTCAGTACTGGCTCCTATTCATAGATTTCTGCTCCTGTCAGTTGTGATTCTAATAATCCAATTGTCTCTCCAATTTGGGGGCATCAACTTGCCCTGAGACCCAATTCTCTGGTAGACTGAAGAGTTATTGAGTTCTCAGTTCATTCAGCTTTTTACTGGTTGGGTTGTTATGATAGAGTGATGACTTCCAAGTTCTTTACACAGTGAACCAGAAACCAGTTCCTCTTTTCTTTTCTATGGTTTCTCAGTGGTCTCTCCATGTTCACTGTCAACAGTTAGAAATACACTTTACTGACTCTCATCCTGGGCCAGGGCTTTGGCCATAGTTGTATGGTATTCCAGTCAACTGTAGCTCCCCATAAAATATCAGGACCCTGCTGTGAGAGGATCAGGCAGCCTTAACCCCAGACCCCAGGACCACCACCCGGGAAGCCAGTATGGCCCAACCTCTGGGCTGCATGAGCCAGCCAGCCAGGTGAGGGCTGTCACAGTGTTCCTGGCCTCTAAAGCTAACCTCTGTACAGGCACTGAGCTGCTTGTGACAGGCAGTGCAGAGCTGGGGTATGGGTGCGAGACTACTCAGGATACCCCCATGGACGCCCTGGCCCTCCCGTCCTGATTCCCAATAATTCTGCTTGGGCCTCCCTGCCTAGGACTCTCACGCTCCAAACCTCAATTCTATCATCTGCCTCCCCAGTACAGTCTTGCCTTCCCCATATTCCTTAGACTTTAAGCTCATTTAGGAATGTGCCTATAAAAGAGCTTTGCAGCCAGAAAATAAAAAGAAAAAAAAAGAAGAGAAATATATACTTTATTTATAATTTCAGTTCAGTGTTGGAGGGTTATTCCTGTATCTAACTGCAAGCTGTCAGAGATGGAAATCTTTAGTATTTCCTTTTGAAGTAAAACTGCGGGCTTTCCCATTTGGAACATATCAATTTATACTCCAACTATCAGGTTCTCCATGGTGAACAACTTCAGTAATACCTTGGACAATCATAGTGTCTGAGTATCTTTCTATATAAATCTTGTTTATTTCTATCTCATCTTGTTCTAACACCTACTTTTAGGATGTTAGTATTTCTGTTAGGATGTTGGTCATTATTTTACTGATTCTTAAGAGTGACAAACCTTGTTTGTCACATCTTTGTTATAGTCAGTTTCTTGTGGTCTTTCTTAAGTTAAATTTGGTGTGTGTTATATTCCTGAGTGCCAACCCAAAGATCCGAATTTACCAGATCTGGAGTGAACTCTATGGATATGTATCTTAATGAAATATTCAGTTATTACAGTAGACTACATTCTGAAAAAGTACTAGGAGATAGGTCATTTGACAAATCAAATAAAGGTATCATGACTTCAAGCCTGATGGTCCTTACATTACACCACAGTTAATCACTTTTTCATTTCCTGCTTTCTCTTTCTCCCATCCAGTTGTCACAAGAGCCTTAAGAAATCGATATGGTAGTTAAGAGAATTATATTCCTAGTAAACATGCTAAGTCATTGAAACTACTTCTTGACATCAGACAGATCTGGGTTCAGGTCCTGACCCACTGGATTATTTTCCAACTGTTGTGTGTGTTTGGGCTATGTTACTTAACCTTTTTAGGCCTCAGCTGCCCCTGCAAGTTGTATGTAATCAAGATATCTCACCTCTGAGGGCTGAATAAAAATTAATTAAGTAATATTTGGAAAGCATTTAGCACAACCTTTGGGCATAGTAAGAGATGGATCACTAACTAGTAGCCCTTTTATATTTTTATCAGATTCTGAGTTCATGAGAATGGCCTCTAATTTGCAGACCAAGATCAGAGCTTTGAGAGTGGTCTGCTGCAGATGCAGGAAATATAAGCATGTATTGAAAGTAACTGTCTAAAAATCTGTCTTTTTATTATTACCATAAAAAGGTAATTATAAACAAAGTCAGTGATAAACACTCCTCCTCAAAGACATATATTATTGGATTAGATCTTAAGTAATTGCTATGATTTACTGTTGAATTTTAATAATATATGTGTCCTTCAAGCTAGCATTATTTTTAATTTTCCAGAGGGCACATATGCTAGATGGAAATAGACAAAGAGAGAGGGGAAGTGAGAAAGCACCCCCCCCCCCCCCCCGGCCATAGCTTTGGCTTAGTCTCTCTTTTT